CAACTGCCCCTCCCGCGTCCCCGGTTTCAAGGACGCTGGGACTCGCCAAGGCCCTGAGGCCTTTCGAGGTGGGAGTGAGGGGGGCAAGGGAGAGACTGCGGGGATCCGGGCCCCAGAGCGTGCTGGGGTCTCTGGGGAGAGGAGAGGGGAACCCAGGCCCCTGGGGATGGCGGGACTGGTGCGTGTGCTCGCCCCCCTCAGGCCGCCAGTATGGACATGTTCATGAAGGGCCTATCCATGGCCAAGGAGGGCGTCGTGGCCGCCGCGGAGAAGACCAAGCAGGGGGTCACGGAGGCCGCAGAGAAGACCAAGGAGGGCGTCCTCTACGTCGGTGGGTGAGGGGGGTGCTTCCATGGCTTCGGGGTTGAGGGGTCTCCTGAGGCAGGGGAGGTGGCTTCTGGCGAGGGGATGTGAGTCAGCAGGTAGGGCGGGGACAGCAGGGGCCAATGGGGTGGACGCCCAGGTCAGTGGGGGGGGGGGGGTGGGGGTGGCCAGGTGATGAAAATAGAGTTTAGCTGAGAGGCTAGGAGAACGATGCTGTGGGAATACCAGTGACCCTTTATCTTAATCTCACTACCCTTACTCCAGGTCCCCCACTGAATGCCCCGGGGTGTCTGACATGCTGCCCGGGCCATTCAGTTAACGCTCTCAGGCCATTTGACAGATCAGGGAACTGGCCTGCCCATGGGTCTGTCTCTCTTGCCCAAGGTCACACAGCTGGTAACATGGCAGGCTGGGGTCTGAGCCTAGCTTTAGGGACACCCCCACCCCTGATCAAGGCCCCACCATTCCCCCTGGCAGACCTACCCTCCCAGTCCTTGCCTCCCCCACCCCCATGAGCTACCTCACATCTCAGCTGTCTGTTGTGTCACTACCATGTCCCCTCCCAGCCATCCTTCCTGCAGTGCCAGCTGGGGTCAAGAGAAAGGCCAGGTGGTTAAAATCTCTCACCCCAAATGGGAGGACACTGTGCCTGCAGGTCATTTGCATAATAAAAGGGAGGGCTTGCTGAGGAGTCCAGAAGCAGGGCTTCCCCAGCTGGAGCAGAAGTAATGGTGCTTGTGCCAGCTCAGAAAGGCCACTAAGCCATGTCCTGGGCTGTGGCAGACCTGGGGCGACAGCCACTTAACAACCCTTTATTGGCCGCTGACGTGTGCAAGGGCCCTGTGTGGATCCCAGCAATGTGGCAGCCACCTGTTCTGCTGAAGATGAGCCTGAAATGTAAGAGCGATTCAGCTGTGGGATTGGATGCCAAGTGGCTGAGGTGGGGACCCCGTTAGTGGGAGAGGCAGAGAAGGGCTGCTAGAGGAGGGGACATTTGAGCTGATCCCTGAATAATGAGGAGCCAGGCAGCGCCCCCACCTCAAATCAGGGTGGGAATGGAAGGTGCAAAGGCCCTGAGGTGCAGTGGGTGTGGCTGCAGGGAACAAGCAGTGATGGGAGATGAGGGCAGAGTCAGAGGGAACAAGCAGTGATGGGAGATGAGGGCAGAGTCAGGCAGGGCCAGTTCACCACCGGGAGGCCTAAGAGGCCAGGGAAAACCATTCCTATAGTTGCCACAAGAGAGTGTAAGCAGGGGACTAGCAAGGTCTGCTTTCCATTTTAAAAGACCCTTGGTGTAGAGCACATTGCAGGGAGGCTGCCTAGGAGGTAGTGCAGCCACCAGGCGAGGGTGGCTGAGCAGGGGTAGTAGTACTGGGCACAGGAGAAGGCTTGGGCCCACTTCTGACAGCCTTCGGCGCTGGCTTCCCTCTGGCTCCCCCTCAGCCTTCCCTCCTGTAGAGCCCTGTCTGGTGGCCCTCTACCCACACAGTAAAGCCCTAGCCCTGGGGAGCCTGCCATTTAATGCCCTCCGAATGCCCCTCTGCCACTAGTTGCCCACCGCAGCCTTGTTCCTGGAGCACAGACCAGCCTGGGTGCACCTCCAGCAGGGCCTGCTCCGCCTTCTGTGCGTCCCTGGCATCCAGTCTCTTGTCTTCACCTTTGCTGCTCCCCATCTGTCAAGGCTCCACCCACATGGGTCCTCCTGTCCTGTTCCCCAGTCAGCTCCCTGAGGCTGGCGGTTCACTGCCTAGTACTTGAGCCCCAGGGCGCCTAATCTTCTCTCTTCCCCAAATGCCTCTTCCTCACCCCCACCCCCACCCCGCCAGCCAGGCAGGAGGAGTTAGCACAGGGCTGGGCACCTGGCATTGAGCAGGTGCGAACAAATGGCTGTGGGCGCACGCGCATGGCAGGGTGAGGTGGAGAGCAGCCTGCCCCCTCCAGTCTCCGGCTTCTGGCTGGCCTTAGACTTAAGAAGATAGGCTTCC